CATGGATTATTGTAACCCTCTCCTAATTGGTCTTCCCAAAAACCGTATTGACCCGCTACAGTCTGTAATGAATGCTGCCGCCAGACTGATTTTCCTCTCTAGTCGGTCCTCTCACAACTCACCCCTCTGTCAGTCCTTACATTGGCTTCCTGTATCCTATAGACTGTAAGCTTGTTTGAGCAGGGTCCTCTTCAACCTGTCGTTCCTGTAAGATTTCTTGTAATTGTCCTATTTATAGTTAAATCCCCCCTCTTGTATTATTGTAAAGTGCTTCAGAATCTATATGAATGGCAATAATAATAATAATAATATAATAGCAATGGGGTCTGTTAACCCCATGCCCCCCCCCCCTCTTGCCAACCCTTGAGCCATTTTGAGAACTTTGTAAGAGTGTTCTCCCTCTAAATCCTGTATCATATATCTGTAGTGGTATTCCATCTGCACAGTACTGTATGCCACTGTAGTATCCCGACTCTATTCCCTTTGCCCCTTTTTTTTTGCCCTCAAGCTTCTTTGCCTATGCCTTTACATATTATTGTTCTTGCTTTTACATCTAAATTGCCTCTTTATTTATATTAACAGTTATTTAATTATGTCATTATTAACTGGCTTCCCTCACAGTAACCAATGTCCTGATTGCTCGATACTTAGATAATGCTCACTCACGAATGAGAAGGATTATGGGTATTTCACAGTGCAAGAGCCTATCATCAAACAGAGCTACTACGTTATCATTATGTCAACAGGAAAGTATCCTAGTGAAATACTAAGTAAAAAAAAGGGGGAAATACTCATCTTCACCTTTTATAGTAATTATAAGTGGGAGACTCCTACTCTAAGCTGAGTCGGAATGTGTACATACATCAAAAGGGAATCCATTCAACACTGAAAGTGAGTCATGCTCTGGTATGATGAGTAATGAGCCTAGAACCATACTTTTGACATTAGTAAGAACTCGTTCTAATTGTAACAGATTCCATGTGTCTGTGCCAAGCACTTCAACATTTATTCATTTTGACATAGAATGCCATGAAATATGTATTTATTTTGTATTTTATTTTTAATTCTCTTCCATTTTGTTTGGGTTTACTGCTACCCTGAATTCAAAATTATTCCTTAATTAACGTGTCTCACTGAGCAGATTAAGAAAAATAATTGGAGACCTGGCATTCAGGAGAATATATGTATCATGGAAGTTTCACGGTATGTCTCATTGAGTTGCTTAATTAAAGACGTTTTATGGTTGCGTCACTTTACGCTAATTGGAACATTTTTCAGGAATTAACATTTTACTATTCTAGGTCATTTGTCAATGTGAATTCAATAGTGTTGGTAGTATTGTTTCGAACATTACAATTATGGTTTGCAGAATATCATTAACTGTGACAGTGTTTGAGTTATAAAAAAAATGGCCTTTGGGATTCCTTGGTCCATTGATATTATTACCCTCATCCCGCAGCACAGGTTACTGGAGGGTAGTGGTTGCAATATTTTAGGGATTTGGCTCAGACTGTGCATCCATTACTTATGCCAACAAATTAGGCAGGAGGAAGAACCATTTGTCAGGTATTCACTTTTTGCTAAGATGTCTTGGCGACCTTGGTATGTTTCCTAATCCCTAATCCTATTACACCTCTGATTATAGAGGAGAAAGACAAATAATCGAGAATTTAGAATTTAGAATGTTTTTAAATCTTTTACACATATTTCCTCTTGTAATATTGATAAGTGTAACAAAATATTCCTTAAAATCATCCTAGGAATCATCACTCTTGTTCCCTCCTGGGATACACTCCCTTACGAATTGCCCTACCAACCACCCCTGTGTTGCACCCTTTTCAGCCTTTTGAGCCAGCCGGAGGAACATACTCGATCAGCGGGAGTTATGGACAATCCCTCTGGAGCTCCAGCTCAACTACTGACTGTGTCTCACCCTGGTCAGTTTGAGACCTTGTTTTAACACCTTTCCCAAAGAGCTAGGAAGGCGCTCTTTGGGGGTTCAGTTATTCCCGTCCTCTTGAACAATCTTGAACAACGCTCTTTGTGAGAAGGAGGGAGCTCCCTTTTCAAAGCCAGCTGGAGTACCCGGTAAAAGACAGTAAAATAGCACCAACCACATGGAATTATTTTCGGCCAAGATTTTACTAGCGGTCAGTCTAAATATTGCAATTTCCCAAGGATCCGAGCACTATTTTTACAGAATGGGTGCTCATATCCCAACTTTCGGTGGATACATAACTTGTGGGGGTACACTGTTGCTTTATGCTTGTGTTTGGGGTATCTTGTGTTGTGTCTTCTGTATCCTGGAGATAATTAGTTTACCAAGGTCCAACTCAATTATCCCCCAGACACAGAGATGCCTGGGCGGGCTTAAGACACAATGAATAGAGACCCCATGCTGGGGGTCTTTGTATAAATACCTAAAATTTGAATAAAACCAATTGATTTACACTTCATCAAGTCTTGGCTGATATTTTGTGACTCAAAGGCTATAACACACTGCCCCCAACCGTGGCATACTAAATCAACACGCTACCTGCAAAGATGCTCCCATTGTGCTGAACGCTCCTGGAGGAAGTCTCGCACCCAGGCAGACTATCTCCATTATAGATTCATATTGTGTTCATACAGCGCAGCCCTTGCCCTCACTAAACAGTAATACTTTTCCTCTCTCATTAGTTCATGCTCCCGCAATCTCAGGCATCTCTTTGACACCTTTAACTCTTTTCTTTGCCCTGCTCTAGCCACCCCCTAAACTAGCCTTACAGCCGATAGCTTTGCATGCTACTTTACTGTCAAGATTGAACATCTAAGAAAAGAATTCTCCCCACCTTGCCGTTCTCTTTCTCAACCACACGTGGATCATGCCTTTCCTACCCTTCAGACTTTCTCCCCGGCTACTGAACAAGAGGTGGGTGCACTTCTCCTTTCCTCTTACCCCACCACTGACCCGCTCGATCCTGTCCCATCACACCTTATCAGATCTCTCTCTGTCTTGTGCCTTCCTCAACACACATCTTCAACTGCTCTCTCTCTTCTGGCGTTGTCCCTGCTGACCTTAAACATGCCACTGTAGTACCTATCCTGAAAAAAACATCTCTTGACCTGTCCTCCCCCTCTAACTATTGTCCCATATCCCTGCTCCCTTTCTCCTCAAAGCTTCTGGAAAGACTTGTCTTTACCCGTATGGCTCACTTCCTCAATTCCAACTCTCTCCTTCACCATTTTCATTCTGGCTTCCGGCCCTCTCCACTCTACTGAGACTGCTTTTATATGTCATGCTCACTCACATTTCTGGCCATGTTCCTTATACATTATACATTAAAGAAAATCTAAGAAATGGGTTTATTAGGAAATCCTCGCTCCCAGGTGGTGCATGATTTTTCTTTGTCTCTTTTAAGTGCATTTCTTGATAAGAAGCTGATGGAAATATTTTAAGTAGTTTGACAGTATATGGTATGATCATATCGTGAGTTATTGTGGGGAAATGAGTAACCCATCAAGATATGCCCAATTGCCTGGTAGAGTCATCCCGGTGTGGTCAGATTATTGAGTAGAGTGAACTAATAGAGTAGAAAGAAGTGTTAGGTTGGGTGAGTATATAGTCTATGAAATGGTCACAATCTGTAGAGTTCAAATGGGGAAGAATAATCTTAATTAAACAGTGCATTTGAAGATATACAACCACAGGAATGTTGAGATCAGGACATTTTTGTTGAATTTATTGGAATGAAAGGATTGATTTCTTATGGTTATCTAAAAAAATCCTTTATATTAGCATCGCCTGTGGCCACCAACAGAGCGCTCGGGCGGCTGCAGTATTTAAAGGGCCGGCCCGTCGCGGCCGGCCTTACAGGAATTTAGGGCGGCCTGGGGGGCAATTGCCTCCCTGCCCCCCGGCCCAGCCCGCCCCTGGTTGCCAGTAGAGGGTTTTCTTGTGCTAGGGGGTATGTAGTAACTGAGAAAGTTCTGTTCCAGTGCAAACATTGTTTCTGTAAATACCACTGTGAATTATCCAGATCCTCTGATCCAATCCCAGGGCATGGTGATAGTGTGTAGCCAAAATATAAAGTTTTACTTTTGCAACATTGAAACCTAGATAAATGTACTCAGCCCGAGACATTATCTCTAGAATACCGATTTTATTATAATGTGAAACAAACAAAATTAACTCATGATTCCGGGGAGGGACGAGATGACGTCTCGCAGGGAGCGTAGAGTACACGCCGCCGTACAGAGCTGAGCTGGAGTCCCACGCGGGAAAAGAAGGAGTCGCCATTCGATTTAACATATGAGTAACTTCTCCCACGACTATGCCGGTTGAACCCACAAAGTTACCCTCAAAGGTCCCTAGGAGAGAAAACTGTTCCTTGGTCCTCTAAGAACCTTGAGGTGGAGTGTTGGAGGCGCAGTACCCTACAGTACCCTACGACATAGCCCTACGACATAGCCGTGAGTAGACGGAAAAGTTCATATCCGGAAGGAGGTGAAGGAGGTGAGCGCTGGAGCAACAGGCTGGGAAATTGAATAAATAAGGCAACTAAATAAGGCATTTGAAAAGCATGATTAATAGCTTGAAAAAAAAAGGAAAACTGTCTAACTGTTTTACTGTTTATCATTTAGCTCCGAAGGGGTTAAAAAAATTGAAGCAGCTGTAAATATGTAAATATTAAGAGAAAAGTGAGAAAGAAAGAAAGGGGAAAGAAAGAAATAAAAAAAAAAGAAAACAAGAAAAGTTTATAAAAAAAAAATCTTTCTAGGTAATGAAGTAGAGAAGTTGAAAAAACAAAGGGAAAAAAATATATAGAGACACACTGCTTGAAGCGGTGAAGCTGCAAGAGGAGAAGCTAAGCGGTGTATAAACAGAACTGAGTAAAGTAAACAGAGAAAGAAGGAAATCAAGAAAATAAGATAAGAAATAAGAAGGAAAGAGTTAAAGAATCTTAAAGAACTCAGACCTAAAAAGAGAAAAAAGAAAGAAGAGAAAAAGAGAAAAAAAAATGGCAACAAGGGAAACAGCTGATCAAAGGCAGGATTTGAAACCTCCAACTAAAAAAGACCGGGAAAAGAAAGATAAACAGGAAAAGAGACTTTCAAATTTTTTTAATGCTCCAGCAGATAAAAGCACCTTAGAAAACTCCCAGACATCAACACCATACAAAGCTGTCTTAAGTAAAGAAACTGCAGACTTCAGCGTTACTGAGGCAAAGGAACCCTCAGATGAACAACAAACGGTCACCCCAGGGTACTTAAAAGAATGTTTAGACCTACAGCTGGAACAAATAAAAACAGAAATGCAGGCGAACTTTGCAACTTTGAAGAAAGATATATTGGAGATTGGACAAAAAGTTAAAGTCAACGAACAAAAAATAGAAAATTTTGAATTTCTTCTACAGAAGCAAAATGAGATTATTGAAAAACAACAAACGAAGATAAATGATCTTGAAGAAAGAACTATAAATATAGAAGAAAGAGCTAGAAGAAATAACTTGAGAATAAGAAACATCCCTGAATCCATCTCACAAGATAATTTGGCAACTTACCTCTCTGAGTTTTTTAAAGTTCTTAAAATAAATATTGAGGATAAAGTGGACTTTCGCTTGTCACTCCTACGCTTTTAGAGAAAAATTTTTAAAAGCGGCAAGATTAACGGCAAGAGATCAAGGCAAATTCAACGATATAAAGGTCTTCCCAGATTTGTCTTTCCAGACAAGAAAAGCGAGGAGACAATTTCTCCCAGCTACTTTGCGTTTAAGGGAAAATAATCTAAAATATAGGTGGGGCTTCCCAACCAAACTTATAGTTACTAAAGATGGGAATATGCATAATTTTGACTCACCTGAGAAGGTTACAAATTGGTTGAATAATCTGGTTTAATAATGCATAGAATTGGAATAAGTAAGGTGAAAATTCCCTTTTTTTTTTTCCTCTCTCTCTCGTGTAAAATATGGCGTGGTTGAAATAACTCTGTGATCTTAACAATTCCTCCTTTAAGGGAAAAATATGAAATACTAATGAGAGATGGGTTTATATATATATTGTTTCACTTAAGAAGAATATAAAGTGGCTGGACAATAAGGTTTAGTTTAGCACGTTTTTTTTTGCTCTGTAATGAGAATTTTCGGGCACATGCGGGGATTCACTCACTCATATAAATATAAGAAAATAGGTGGAGGAGTTAACCGATAGCTTTTGTTCATATATTTACATTTTGAAGAGAAGGAAATAAAGGGTTCAGTTTTAATGGTTTATGCCATACACTTAGTAAAAAGGGTGTGTTTCTTTTGAAAGGTATCAAATACAACTTCTTTGAATATAGAGATGGATTTTGGAGCAAAGTAGTAAGGGTAATACACAGGATGAAGATAAGGATAAAATGGATATATATCACGGTAACATAAAAGGGGAGGGAACTATGATATACAGTAGCAAGTTGGATTGTTGAGATAAATGTTGTTGTTAAGTAAAGCACTAAGAGGAATATAAGGAAAGTAATCAATAGTTTGGGTTAATTTTAAATATATTAGGGTAGTGCACCCGCTATTAAAAAAAAAAAAAAAAAGGAGGGAAAGAGAGAGAGAGAGGGGAAGAGAAAGAAGAAGAAAAGGGGAAAAAAGGGGTGTCGCACTTAAGAAAGGGAAAATGGAAGGGGAAGGAAGGAAGAAGAAAAGGGGACGAGAAAAAAGAGAAAGGAAAATCTAGGGAAATTGACATACACTGCATTAGTATAAATAGATAAATGAGTATTATATGGGTAAAAAGTGTTTGTATTAAAAAGAAGTATCCTCATTAATAGTCCCAAAGTGAGGTCTGGCGGTAAATATGGGTTGGTGCTTTAAATAATTGTGAGACTATAGGGCTCTATAGGATTGATTTATTGCTAGGGATTTTAAAACCGAAGGGTAAAAGGGTCTTGATCATTTTGCTGATTGTGGGGAGGTTTATAGATATTGCTGCGGCAATTTAGCAGGTGAAGGAATAATTTAATAAAATGGGATGGTACAGCTCAGCTCTTTTCTTCTTTCCTTATCTAGGAGTTATCCAAGTAGGGGTTTTTCCCCTCTGGGATCAATACCCGGAGTTTAGGACTCAGGGTTGTTGCTATGAATGCCCCTCACAGATCTGTGAGGGGATGGAGTATGATTGTTGTGGTTTTGTGTGTTTGGTGCGGGGCTTAAATTCAGACCAAGAAGAAATTTACAAAACAAGTCAACTAAGATTATGCAAAAGGGATTATGAATTTGGAGAATTCTTTAAATGATTGATATGAGGATGGGAAACTGTAATGGTTAAAATTATATCGTTAAACTCTCAGGGCCTAAATTCTCCTTGTAAGAGAGCGATTCTGTTTGATTATATTAAGAGGGAAAAAGCCCAAATTATCTTTTTTACAAGAGACGCATTGGAGAAGAGAGGACAGTCTAAGATTTGTTCCACAAAGGTTCTCAATAGCAGTATCCGCCTCATTAGAGAGGCAGAGGAAGAGAGGGGTGACGATTTTGATAAGTGACGATATAGATGCTAAATTAATCTATCAAGCCTTTAATGACTATTATAGTCAATTATATAATTTAGACCCAGTAGGTCAACAACTTCCCTCAGCAGAATATTTTAAAAAATAAAAAAATGCCCAAAATAACAAGAGAACAACTTATGGAAATAAATAAACCAATAACTGCGGATGATATTAAAGTAGCAATAAATAAGTTACAGATTAACAAAGCCCCGGGTCCGGATGGTTACTCAAACAAATTCTATAAAATATTTAGAGACACTTTTTCAGTGTACCTTGCTAGGACATTCAATGAAATAGTGGCAAACCGAGCAAAAGAGATGCTTCAAGCAAATATTGTTCCAATCCTGAAGCCGGACAAAGATCCAGTTAAATTGGCGAATTACCACCCTATATCTCTCCTTAACGGAGATGTAAAGATTTATGCTTCGATTATAGCTGATCGTTTAAAAATCTGTATTCCTGCCCTGATACATCAAGACCAGGCCGGATTTATTCCTGGCAGAGCAGCTTCAGGTGGTCTTAGAAGGATATTGGATGTTCATGATGCTGCATCAAGGAAGAATGTTTCCCTTCTGACCCTGTCATTGGATGCTGAGAAAGCTTTTGACAGGGTCAGATGGGACTTTCTGGCAAATACATTGAAGGCATATGGCATAGTGGGTGCAGTCTATGATGCCATTATGGCATTATATACTATGCCTTCAGCAAGGATGGTAGGTCCAGGAATAGATGCAGACTGGTTTAATATTAAGAATGGTACTAGACAGGGCTGCCCCCTGTCCCCTTTGCTTTATGTTTTAACCATCGAACCCTTGGCGGATGATATAAGGCAAAATGGGAAGATCAAGGGACTTAGGCTAACTAAAATCAATCTATATGCTGATGACGTCATGCTTATGCTGCAGAATCCTAGATCCTCGCTACCGGAATTGACAAAGATATTGGGTCAGTACAGTAGATACACAAATTATAAATTAAACATTAACAAAACTACAATAATGACAACTAATATATCTAGAGAAGAAAGGTTTTTTATTAAAACATCTTATGATTTTGTCTGGGTATTAAAATTCCAAGAAACATAAAAAAAGTTATGGAGGTTAATTTTCTCCCCCTCATAAAATATACAAATAAGATTCTAAAAGAATGGGCTAGTAGTGAGATTTCATGGATAGGGCGTATAAACACTATTCGCTCCTATATTCTGCCCAAATGGAACTATCTTTTTAGAATGCTACCAATACAAGTTTCAACTCCTTGGTTAAAAATGATACAGTCAGCTTTCTCTAAATTCATTTGGAAGGGAAAAAACCCAGAATAAGTTTACATCAGTTATCTAAGAAAAAAAAAGATGGAGGTCTTGCTGCCCCAAACATAATAGAATATCATAATGCCTGTATGCTGGCACATGCTGTTAATACTATAAGCACAGATCAAAAAGATCAAGCTTGGTATCAAATAGAACAATCATTAGTAGAGACTGAAAATCTGAACGCTCTGTTTTGGGCAACAAGAAAGGAGAAAAATATGAGTAAACCAGTTTGTTCAGGAAACTCGATTATTATTTATAATATTTTGGGATACTGGAATAAAATCAAGAAAGACTGTAAAATAGAATATAGATTGTTTTCATTTTTACCCATAGAGGTGATTAAGGGGAATATTGAAGATATTAATATCAGTGGATGGTTACAGAAGGGAATTAAGAATATCCAAGAGATTATTGATAGAAAGGAAATTAAGCCATTCAATCAGCTACAAACAGAGTTTGGGATTGATAACAACGAGATATTTAAATATCTAAGAATTAAGTTTTACTTGTCGAAATTCTTGAATTTCCAGCTTAACAAATTCTCAAGTAATCTTAAAAAGATTCTGGAAACTCAGGGAAATAAAGGCCATATTACTAGATGTTATGAGTTTTTAAAGGATTCTAAGAAGCCTTATGTCTGGAAATCTAAGATTAAGTGGGAAAAAGATCTGCATATTGAAATTACTGAGCAAGATATGATAAGTGCGATAGTTAAGGTAAATAAGTCGGTACATTGTTTGAATATAGTAGAGAATTTTTATAAACTCATAAACAGGTGGTATTTGGTCCCAGAAAAACTGGCAAAAATGTATAAAGATCAGAATAAAGCCTGTTGGAGATGTAACGATGGGAAAGGAGATTATCTCCATATATGGTGGCAATGTAAATTTTTAAATAATACATGGAAGAATATCTATCAACAAATTTATAATACCTGTCAGATATATATACCTTTCACACCACAGAGTTTTTTGTTACATCAGGGATGGCCCCCTATGCCTATTGAAAAAAAGTATGTTAATAATTCATATTTTAATGGCAGCTAAAACAGTCCTAGCTAGGCACTGGAAAAGCAATAAAGTGTTAGAGTGGGCTGAAATTAAAAAACAAATAATATACCAATCGAAAATGGAAATTGGAATAATCCAAGGAAACTCTGTGGGTCTGAGTAAAACCAGTAGGTGGAAAAATATAGTGGACAAGTTTATGGCTTGTAATGAAGGCTTATAATATAGGAGGTCTGAGATGCCCCCGCAGTGTGTGTCTGACTCCGGAGAGTAACTAGTGATATAAGCATTTATATGGAAAGTAAAGGCACAAACGGTTAATATAATGCTGGTTCCTCGGGAGTGTATGTGTTTTTTAGTGATGGTGATAGTGATGGTGATACCTCAATTCTACTATTTATGGAATGTATAGATACTGCAATCCTATAGTGCAGGGGTGTCAAACATGCGGCCCCCCAGATGTTGCTGAACTACAACTCCCATGATTCTTTCAATGAAACAGATAGCCAGGGAATCATGGGTGTTGTAGTTCAGCAACATCTGGGGGGCCGCATGTTTGACACCCCTGCTTATTTTAGCTTTGTATGGATTTCTAGGTGCAGGTATCTAAAAAATATATAAATTATTGTGTCCATAAAATGTTGTTTATAGACATCTGCCATTAATGGAACATATGTATGTGAATATTTGTAATGCTCATTGAGTTATTGTATGTATTGTATGCAGGGCCGGCCTTAGGCAATTAGGCGCCCTGTGCAAAAAGTCTTCACGGCGCCCCACCCACCTCCCACCAAGTTGCCTGAATACAGTAACACACACAGGCACCGGGGACGTGTGTATCACGAGGCAAACAAGGCATCTGCCTTGGGCGCCACTTTGCAGGGGGCGGCAAAAAAAAGCATCCCTCCAAACCCCCAGGCAGATCTCTTGCTTGCCTCGCATCCTGGGGGGCTCAAGAGCTGACCGGATGGCCACTTTTGAGCCCCCCCAAGGCTGGCAGCGGGCAGCGAAGGAGCATACTCACCTGAGCTCTTCCTGCTCAGCTTCCTCTGCGCCGCTTAATGAAGCCGGGAGCCAGAATATGACGTCAGTCCGGCTCCCGGCATCACTAAGCGCTGCTTACTCAGCCTGTGCGCCCCTGCCTGCCTGCCCAGCAGCCACACTGGACTGCTGGTAAGAAATCCACTCCAGCTTTCCCAGGGAGGCTGGGTGGATTTAAAATAAATGTAAAAAATATTAGTTTGTGAGCCTGTGCGCCCCCTGCCTGCCTGCCCAGCAGCCACACTGGACTGCTGGTAAGAAATCCACTCCAGCTTTCCCAGGGAGGCTGGGTGGATTTAAAATAAATGTAAAAAATATTAGTTTGTGAGTGTTAGTGGAAATGTCTGTGTGTGTGTCTGTGAGTGTTTATTTTGAAGTGAATGTGTGTGTGTGTGTGTGTGTCTGTAAGTGTGTAATTGTGTGTGTCTGTAATGTGAATGTGTGTGTTGGTCAGTGAGTGTATATGTGTCAGTCAGTGAGTGTGTATGTGTCAGTCAGTGAGTGTGTATGTGTCAGTCAGTGAGTGTGTATGTGTCAGTCAGTGAGTGTGTATGTGTCGTCAGTGAGTGTGTATGTGTCGTCAGTGAGTGTGTATGTGTCGTCAGTGAGTGTGTAGGTCAGTGAGTGTGTAGGTCAGTGAGTGTGTATGTGTCGGTCAGTGAGTGTGTGTCGGTCAGTGAGTGTGTGTCGGTCAGTGAGTGTGTGTCAGTGTGTATGTGTCGGTCAGTGGAGTCGTGCATCTTTCAGTGAGTGCTTGCGTCTGTCAGTGAGAGTGTGCATCTGTCAGTGTGTGTCCAAGTAATAGTGTATGTGTGTATGTCATTGTTTGTCAGTGTATATGAGAGTGTGTGTCTGTCAGTGAGTGTGCGTCTGTCAGTGAGTGAGCGTCTGTCAGTCAAAGTGCGGCCTTGACAGGAAGGGGTGGGGGAAATTTAAACTCGGTTACAGGCATGTACACACACACTCAGTTAAAGGCAGTCACACATACAGGCACAGGCACAAACAATGGCACAGCGACACACACAGACAGACAGTCACATAGGCAGTCACACACACAGACAGACACACAGTAACACACACATAGACAGTTATACACACACAAGCAGGCAGTCACACAGATAGAAAGTCACACACACAGGCAGGCAGTCACACACAGACAGATAGTTACAGACAGACACACACAGGCAGGCAGGCAGTCACATACAGGCAGTCACACACACAGGCAGTCACACACACAGACAGTCACACAGACAGACAGTCTCACACACACAGGCAGTCACACACACGGGCAGTCACACAGACAGACAGTCACACAGACAGACAGTCACACACACAGGCAGTCACATACATGGGCAGTCACACAGACAGACAGTCACACACACAGACAGTCACACACAGGCAGGCAGTCACACACAGAGACAGTCACACACAGAGACAGTCACACACACACACAGAGACAGACAGTCACACACACACACACACACAAGGACAGGCAGTCACACAGACAGTCACACACACACACACACAGACAGTCACACGCACACAGGCAGGCAGTCACACAGACAGACAGTCACACACACACACAGACAGACAGTCACACAAACAGGCAAACAGTCACACACACACACTTACCTCTTTCCAGTGGATGCAGTTGGCTGATGGGGAAGCATCTTTCCCTCTTCCTGTACAGCAGGGGCTTCGGGAGGTATTAGCCCCGTCTCCGCCTCTCGATAAGCCCCGCCTCCGCCGCTCGGTAAACCCCGCCCCCTCTGCCGCGATTTTTTTTTTTTTTTTTTAAATAGACCCGGGTGGAGAATAATTAATCCTCCAGCCAGGTACCTCTTTTAGCTCCCCTGCACTCCGGCCATGAGTGAGCTGTGTCGGCCACAGGGCGCCCCCTGTTCCATGGCGCCCTGTGCGGTCGCACAGCTCGCACACCCCTAAGGCCGGCCCTGATTGTATGTCTTTGATAATGTTAAAACAACAAAAAATATTTTTGAAAAATAAAAATAAATACAAAATAAAAAAAACTCATGATTCCGTGAAGTTTGTCCATCAGTCTAGATCGAAAATTTCCTCCGGAACATGGTCCTCAACACCTCGTCTATTTGTTTGTCTCAAATGTAGCTCTGTCTTTTTACTTCTACGAACTGTACCAAGGTACAGATCTGCAGAATGTGTTGGCGCTTTTTAAGTAAACCATAATAATAATCAATCTGAATATTCGGTATTTTATAGTAATTGTATCATCTTTTCATTATTATTACTCATGCAATAACTGTTTACCTTCTTAAGTCTGCTTGTAAAGCTAAGATATCATTTTCTGGAGACAAAGGTCTCATAATCTTGTTTGTCTTCATAATATACACAATTACAAGCTCAATGCATTCTTACTAAGCTTAAAGGGACACTGTAGGCACCCAGACCATTTCAGCTCATTGAAGTGGTCTGGGTGTAGAGTCCCTTTTGCACTTAGTGCTGCAATGTTAAACATTGCAGCATTGAGTCAGCCTCTAGTGGCCGTCTACCATATGTCTACGACTTTTCCCGACAGGAAAGCATTGATTCAATGCTTTCTTTGGGGGAGGTCTAATGCACATGCTGCATTTGCCACGCATGTGCATTACTGCCCACGGGACGGAGGAGGGGTGGAGCGTGGACCCAGTGCCAAGGGACATCGGCGCTGGGATCAAGTAAATAAATATAGGGTTTTTAACCCTTTATTTACCCAGACGTACGGGGCGCGAGGGAGGGGGGACACAGAGGGAAAGATAGTGCCAGGAATACAGCTCTGTATTCCTGGCACTATAGTATCCCTTTAATATTTGAGATAAACAGCTCGTAAGGGGTTAAGAATTTTGAACAGAGAAATAATAAACCAAGCAGCAAAAAAAGGAAAATGAAATGAAAGAAGTATTTACAATGATTAAATAAGAGTATTTATTTTAGACATTGAGCATTTATTTTCATTTTCTCTCAAACTTTTTTTTCTCATTCTGGCAAAATGACTTGCTAAATTACATCCAAACAAAACACTAGTATGGACATAATGTCAAAACAAAATGATAAACAAGTGGTTAATGAATAACCCCAGGCCAAATGAAAAATTCTAAACAAACCGATTTGATGTAGAATTTGCACAGTAAAATCATATTTCTAGAAAATGTGGCACGTGGACAGATCACTGAAGTACACACAATCCCAGTGAAAAATAGACATTCTATTTTTATATGAAACTAATCAACATACTAGTTTTTATGGCTTAATATATACACAGACATTATAAACTACCATGCCAAACTAAAAGGCCTTTAACCTCTTTCCTAAGTCTTTGTTTTTTTATATCAAAGTAGAGCAAACTATATGATATTGGTATAATAAATATAACAAATAAATATAATAATATAATAAATTATGAGTAAAATAGATTGCTATGTATCTCTTGCAAGTAATAATGTTAAAGGGACATTCCACTGCCCAAATACAAAATAAATAAAATCACAATTTAATAGATATACCCCTGTATGACAATTTGCACGCATTTAATTATGCAATTTTTTATTTTCATTTTCTAAAATGCAAAACCCACTTTTCTCTTTTCTGCAGCCCTCCCTTCTAACTCCGCCCAGACTTTCTATAGCTGTCCAATCACAGACTTCTCAATGCAGCTCAATGAGAAGTCTTTGTAAGGCAGGTGCTCTGGGCCATTGCTGCCTCTGGAGTTTAGCTTCACTGAGCTTAACAAACCAGAATGTAAAAGGACCTGTTCAAGACCGGGAAAGGGGGGGGGAGGGTTACCAGGTAAATTCATAAAAGTGTAAATTTCTATTGAAATCTGCACTTTTTGCAAAATGTAAAAAAAAGAAAAAAGAGGCTAAAGTGCTTTAGGGGGTCTGGAGTTTCCCTTTAATTAGTTAAAGCCTGTTACATTTGAGATTGTTGTCTCCTTAAAGGGACACTCTAAGCTCTAGGACCACAACAGCTTAATGTAATGGTTTTTGGTGCTTAGACCCTGTTCCTGCAGGCTGACTATTTTAAATACTACTTTTTCTGTGAAAAGGCAGTGTTTAAATTTGTCCCTAATGTAACCTCTTGTGTCTGTCACTCGGATAGTCACTAGAGGGATTTCCTGGGTGGTCCTGCAAAGATTGCTGACATTCGACGTGTTCACATGCTGCAAGAAGATGTCGAATTCAGTTGTACCAAGTCAATCCATCTCTCTAAGGAGATGTTGATTGGCGCAGAGCAGCAATAGCTATGCATGCGCAGTAGACCCCCAATGTTTCTTTAGTTAAAGCTTTAGATTGGCTGAGATCATCAGTAACAGTGTTCTCAGACTGGGGAGGAGATTGGAGCACCAATGGACTAAAGGTAAGTAATAATGCTTTAATTTTATTTTCTGTGGGTGGGAGGGAGGCCTACAGTAGTTCGGTGAAGACTTTAATGTTAGAAATGCAGGTTTGTATTTCTAAAGTTAAAGTGTTCCTTTAAATTTATCATGCGTATCAAGAATTCAAATAATCTGAAAATTTAGCTAGGCGTACAAGGCATCTGTATTAATAAATTAATGTTTCCGGACAACTATGTGTCTTTTCATCCGTCTATGCAATGATTAATCTCTCAGCATGGAAGCGTGTGGGTAGATCTCTCATTAAATGAACCTCCAGAACCTGGTTAAAGTTTTTAAACTTAATTACAATTAATATATTCATTTTGAAGATAATAATGTTAGATTAGAGACTACATTATCTCTGCATAACTCCATAACTTGGTATTAAAGTTACTATAGAACTTTCTTCTAAACTTGGCGGCTGTGTATTAAATACTTATTTTAATATCCTACACGTTTTTCAGGTATTACTGAAGCTGCCTGGATTCTGCAAAGAGTTCAAATAAATGTGAAAACATGGCTATGCAATACAAGCCAGGATGGTTTGAACCCAAATAAGAAAATGTTTAGAAATTGATAGTTTGAGTTTAACATTATCAGAAATGATGTAAAAAAGATAAATCAACATTTTATTGTGCTGAAAGGGGGTAAGAGATTTCTAGATTAAGGCCTCGATTTAATAAGCTTTCCAAATGACTCAATACTGTTTAAAAGGATTTATCCACAAACGTTCACAAAGACTTTATTGGTGACTTCTGTAGATTTTTTTTTCTAACAGTGTTGAATCATTTGGAAAGCTCATTTAATCGAGGTCATTATTGGATATGTTTTCCCAATGATTCAATATTTCTTGAATAAACTTTTAAAATTATTTTTCAACATACTACAATATCAAAAAATATTGTATGTGTAAAACACGTTGCAGCACTAAATCAACCTGTAGTGGCTGTCTCCCAGACAGCCACTGGGGGCACATCCTGGATTGAAACGGACCTTCTAACTCTGCATGAGGACATCCAGCATCAGAAGTTTCCCCATAGGAAAGCATTGATTCAATGCTTTCCTATCGCAAGGTCTAATGCGCGCGCGGCAAATGCGCCTTAGCATCCGCTCCTCAAGGGGTGGAGAATGGAGCGGAGCATTGAATCAGTGCCAAGGGACATCAGCGCTGGGATAAGGCAAGTAAATAAATGGTATTTAACCCTTTATACACCCAGGCGGGGGAAGCGAGGGAGGGGGGAGGCAGAGGGAGCTATCGTGCCAGGAATACAGCTTTGTA